AATTACGTCAAAGCCTGCACGAACATAATACAGACCACGAGATTCAACACAAATGTTTCAGTTCCTTCTTTTCTCTGCTGTGCGCCACGGGCAGCATTTGCATAAGAGAAAGCACGCTTGCACCTACGTTCTGATCAGACATTGGGTCATGTGCTCACCCTCTTTCTCCTTAGAAACAACAAAGCCACGCTCTATTTCCTTCTACGCACTATCGGACGCCACATGATAGATTAGTCACTCATCAACTTTATTCCTTCCCACGCGTGCGTGGAAAGTTTAATTCGATCAGGCTGGCAAAGAGTGACTCAATTTGGCGCACAAAGGAAGTCACTTGGTCTTGGTGGCGCCCTGGGCCGAATTCAAACTCACTCCTGCCAATGTCGACCTTCTTGCGCCTTCTTGCACCAGTTAAATACTCCCCTTTTCCCTCTTCTTCACGCTCCCCCTTCTCTTCTCTTCTCTAGCATCAATCACACTTCCACTTTTTGCCAGCATACCACTTACGCCTCTTTCTTGTGTCGTTCACATTTTTTGCTTCCAATACAGCACTTATCCGATTTTCCCCCTCTATGTAAGTATCGTTCTCTTTACTGCACAAGAAGACGCTGTCTAACCTAGAATAGTACAATGTCCATTCTCGGAGAAGACGATTTTAGGAACCTCGTGGAGACTGGTTTAGCTGGTCCACCGCGCTCCGATGGCACAATAAGACTTCACCGGTCTCGAATAAACGGATCAAGCGACGAAGAGAATGCAGATCTTCCCCTTACACCTGTTTCACCTACTTCATCTGATCTTCACTTTATTACTATTCCAGATACACTCATCTCTTCAGCAACCCTAATTTATCTTGGGTTCACAAAGGAAAGAGCAGAATTTATCTGGAATCAGTGGACAAATTGGCCTTATCCACGAGAAACGGATCCTGAGAATGAAGACAATCCCCGGGGTAATATGCTATACATTGAAGTCATTCTTCTTCATTTTGGATCTTATGGTTCTGACGATGAATACGATACCTATTCTGAGAACAACGAAGAGTGGACTTATTGCATGGATAGGTATGGCATTAATGATGAGTTAAAAGCGACCATGATGGATCCGCGCTTTAACTCAATTCGTCTCACGAACTCGTGTCTTTACTGGCTTCGAGATACTATAGAGGAACGCTATTTTGGGCTTGAAGACATCCAAGCTGCGTCTTATGAGCGACAAATGGCAATCCAGCGCCCACAAGAGCATCTCGGAGGATCACAATATGAACAGCGTTGGACTATCCAAGAACGCGCAGGAAAGTCCCTACATACCTCAACATCAAGATTCGCAATGGAAGCTGGCCATACACAACCTGGCCACATCAAACTCTTCAAGGGGATCTCTCAGCGTCGGCTCAAGGACATTGTAAACCCTAATGATGGCTCTATCGACACGAGCGCGCTTATGTCCTACCCCCAAACTGACTTTCTATCTCGCACAGGTGGAGGCTACTTTGCTGTTGATCGAGACATGGCTGTGCGGTACGCCAACTGGGCGAAACACCGCGTTAAGGGCGGCTCAGCTGCAATACTACAGATCACTATCCCCAATTCTGCGATTGAGTCTCTCCCAGCGGATCAAGTTTACAAGATCTATTGGGACCCAAATGGGATTGATAAAACTTGGGAAAAAGTCATATACTATAGTCGAAACGGAAAACTAGGTCCAAAGGACTTGAGAAGACTATTAAATAAGGCGACTTTAATCATTGGAACTATTGCGACTGGGCCAAACCACCACTTTGGGCGTATGAGGAGTTATGAGGAGATCAGAGAACGAGATGTTATGAAAGATCAAGAAGGACGCCCAGCAATACAGTATGTGTGGCATTTGGACGGGGAATTTCTTTTGGAGCAGTTCTGTTGTGAGAGCTTGCAGGTATTCCCGGTCACAGTCGCAGAGTTATCGGCCTTCAATGGGTAGTTTTATAACAATCCTCGTCCCCTCAAAGAATCCTAACATCGCAACCTCTTCATCATGATACAGACCACTCCGGCATCTTGGTATCAGCCGAGTTTATTGGACTCCTTATTAGTCTACTTAGCCTAGTTCTTAGCTATAATCGAGACCCGTATACAACATTGAAACTCGTACATTAAGAGCGGCATCGGGGGCAAGTCAAATTACATCCGGCTCGGCGGTATTGGCAGAGCTGATGTGGGATGTGGCATCTCTAAGCAATGCAAGGTTAATTATCTTTCATCTATGGTGCTTAACGCCATTGTCCCTAAGTCCCTAAGTTTACAAATAGCTTAATTCAAAGTACGCAAAGGTTCTGTTAAAACAATGGGGTGCGATTGCTGTCGGTTGCTGCTGATGGATGGCAAAGCTCCCTCCCCCTCTCTCTGGCAGTAATTACTTCGTAGATCCTTGTTTTATTACTTGTCGAGCCGTGGTGTTACCCACTCTGACCGTTCGCATATAGCAGCGCGGAAAGATTCGCACAAGGTCTAGTCCCGGCGTTATAATGTTAAAAGACGTGCATAATAAAGAGTGACTTTGAATGTCTCATCAGCCGTCCATGATCATTTTTGTTGTTTCAAACTTGTGGAAAGCAAGCTCGTAAGCAAATCCTAGCGTCATTTTCGCATGCTCGAGCATGTGGTAAAAAGACACGTTGTCGATGAGGTCCGACGAATTGTGTATGTGTTGGTTCAAATTCCCAAACGAGGACTCCATAACAAATGCTGAGGGATACCCGGCCTTTGAGGCGGAGGCATGGTCGGAGCAGGCGTAGCCACACTCGGTTTCAACCCATGGGATGCTGCAATACTAGAAAAGACGGGTCAGTGTGCTTGTTCAGACATTCCACTGATGGCGCATGACGGATCTTTGACAGATCCTTGACGTACCTGCTCGATGACCGTCTTGATAAATCTGGTCAGACCGGCATCAACATGGTCAACAACGACACCAAACCTTTCAGGCAGGCCTGCGTCCAAGGTGCCCTTGATATAACCAGTCATGTCCTGCTGCAGCATAGCCTTGACGTCATGTTCGTATTTCTCGTAGTCCCGGAAAATGGCTTGGCTACCCAGCAGGCCGCCCTCCCCACCGCTGTACCAGTGAAACTCAATCGTGTTAGCGGCCTTTTGCTTCCGAAGATGTGGTGACTCGAGCAAGGCGCTGAACACCTCCAGGATGGTAACGGCACCGCTTCCACCACTATCAGCTCCAGGGGCGGACAGCGTGGGCAGCCACAGGTTGATAGAGTCCAGGTGGGCTCCGATTACAATGGTGGTTTCGGACTCTCCAGCAATTCTTGCAATGACAGAGCTTTGCTTCCACGGATGGTCAAACCTCTTGAAAGTAACAAAGTGCGAGAGCTCACGGTTCTTGATGACAGATCTCTTGGTGAGGTACTTGACAGTTTCAAGTATCCAGTCAGACGACTGACGACCGTACTCCGAGTTGTAGTATCGTGTGTGGAAGCTGGTCAGCCACTTCAGGTTTCTTCGCATGCGACGCTCACTCATATATTTGATAAGCGGCTTGACTCCGAAACTGTGCCTACACTTGTAAGGGAATATGACTGGTTCCTTCGCAGCTGTATTCACAGTGCCCAAATCCCGAGTCGCAGTGATGTCCATGAACCTTTGCCCATTCTGATGTAAGGAGGAGCGAGGGTTAGTATATTTGTGCAAGCTGCAAGCTGCGGCCGGTTGTAGGCCTGGCGCGATAGGTGCAGAACGATGCAAGTGAATGGAATGCGAGAGGTCATGTCTTGGAAGGAAAGGGAAGGTGATGCCTAGGATGTGATGCCTAGGATGTGAGGCTGTAACATCCAGCAGCAGGCAGGCAGGCACTTACCCGGCGGAGTTTCCACTTGTCATCTAAAGTCACCCATTGTGTCTCTCCTGGGGCGGTTTCAATCAAGAACTCCTTGTCGGGAAGCACCTCCTTGTTGTTGGTTTCGCCTGGCTCCAGGATGTGAGCAGATGCAATGGGCACAATCCAGGCGAGGAGCGCCTGAATGAACCTCATGCTGGCAGAGAAGAACGAGTGAACAACTGACGAAGGATAATTGCGAGACTGAGTATCAGATTTAGAATTTTTTAGCAAAGATTGTGGCCAGCGAAGCTGTGAGTACATGTGGTGATGATGAGCACGGATCGGGTGGTGAGGAACGATGTATTGCAAGCGGGAAAGGGTCTGGTTTATATTACGGACTACTCCGTGTATATATATTTCTTGTTGCATTATTGCAAGTAAGTTTTCCTGTTCTGGTGCTAATGTGGCTGCCGAGGAAAGGTGTCGTCAAACTCAATATTCCCATTTAAACTCTCCGACTACGGAGTAGCCTGCGGCAAGAATTGATTGCTTCTATGCATAAAGTAGCTTTTAAAATTAATTCTCGGGTTTTTTTCCCTGGGGCTTGTTACTACACAAAAGATGCTAGCTATAGCTAGCTAGGTGAATATTTGCTAACCGTACAAGATGCATGATGATCCGCGTCGTGTCGCGCGATGTGAGTCACGAGGCGGTCAACGAGGAAAACACAATAATGGGTGCGGATAAGGACGTAGAGGAGGGAGAAAAAGATGGCTCCATGCACGACCCATGGTTTATAAGTAAGTAGCAAGCTAAAGCCACGAGCAACGGCGGCATATCCGGTGACAATAGACGTCATAGTTCAATATGCAGCTTGGCAGTTCTAGGAACACGATATAGAACGTTGATAATGAGTGTCTCGATAGTTGTTGATTCTAGTTGGCTAGATGCTAACCTGTTCTCTAATATAGGGGTTCTAGCTACGCAGTAAAAGTCAAACAGATAGGTCGCGAGATCGGTCATTCAAAGATGAATGTGTATGGGTGGTATATTCTCTGAGATGAAGAGACATCTCATACCACACGTAGTGAAGAAGTTGCCGAGGGTGACTCCAACGTCAGCACAACCACAAATGGTTACGGCATGGGACTGATTATATAGGGTGAAATACTTGGGAAGTTGACAACAACGGTGGCTTCGTGGTATAGTGGTAATATACTCGCTTCGGGGAAAGCCCCCTTAATCCATAGGGTTATTGTGAGTGGTCCCGGGTTCGATCCCCGGCGAAGCCCTAGATTTTTTGCCCCGTTGCCATGTGGTAACGGGGCCGGTGTCGCTGTACCGCCGCCGACAGACTTTTTCATTGCTCTTTAGTCTCGGCTTGGGCGTTTCCACTAAGACTCGTACCAGCCCCCTTTTTTTTTTGGGTTGCGAGACCCCCTAATGGCAAAGTAAACAGGCTAAAAATTTTTTACTAAGGCGCTTTCACGGAGTACTGCACCAAGACTAGGCAGTGGCGGCGATGAGAAGTAGCTTGGTGGCTCCATCCCGCCCGCCAATGGCCGCCTGTGGAGAAGGAAGTCGATGTTCGGCGGGGATGCACGGAGAAATACACTTGAGTACTGGCAGGGGTGACGACTAGCTGGAGAGCTCTTACATAGGTGGTTCAATATATTTTAGCCCAGTCTAAAAGTAAGAAGAGATGAAAAAAATTGACTGACTGACCGATTGACTGACTGACTGACTGACTGTACATAAGTGCGAATTCGTACCAAGATACTGCAAGCTATGTGAGTGACTTTTACCGCCTATCTAATTAGGAGAAGTTGACGTCGTCACTTGCGCCGCTGCCGCCACACTGGACGCGACGCCAGCTTATGCTTCATATCCATCTTGGGTGGCTGAGGCTAGGCTTGCAGCCACCAGACCACTTTCTCGATTGGCTGCACGCCCCACGTGCCGGGGGCGTCGGCAGAGAGGCGCCTCCAGAGTCCAGACATTCTCTCTGTGGCTTCTTCTGTCTCTCCTTTTTATCACCGCCTCACGACGCGGTGGCATTCTCCATTCTCATAAACCCACACGAAAAACATTTCCCGACTTGTCGCCAATTCGAACGCTTCGACCTTAGCTCGCCCACAGGCGGCAGCCTTGGCCACATATTCGAAGCTGATGAGGGTGATATTGAGCTGTCGGGAGCACCAACATCTCCCGTCCGAACTTATCAACGCCCGCACCGCACTGGGCGTCTGATCAGCCCTGCCGCCCATAGCGACACGCATCCGCATTCAGCCTCAGCGTCACGAACAAGATTGCCGAAGGGCCCTCGCGCCGCCTCGACAACGATGGCATCGCCATACGCCCTGCCGTCTTCTGCGCTTCCTCACGCCCATCATCAGCATATCAATTCCCAGTCATCACTGAATACCTGGCGCACGTCCATGTCTACTGGATCGCTCCCCGCGTCCATCGAAGAAGATGGACACGATCACGACCGGCCGCATTCGCATTCTCGACACGATCACCATGCTCGACAAGGGTCTCACCCCTCCAATACAGGTGCTTCTTTGCACAGGGAAAAGTTCCCGCCACCGTCCCTAGATTCTCTCGACGGATGGACACAAGAGATGACTGCCGGCGGGAAGAACATCATTACTCCTGGCCCCGACGCAACTTCAACTCCTTATTCACCACCGATTAAGAACAACCATGGTCAAAATCATAGTCATGGCGAAAAACATGATCACAACCATAGCCATAGCCATAGTCATAGCCATAGTCATGACCACAACAACGGCCACGGCCACGGCCACGATCACAATAACAGTCACGACCATGGTCATGGCCATTCCCATTCCCATAAGGCGAACGAGAGCAAGGCCCCGAGGTCTTTGTTCACAAGGACGCTGCTCAAATACACGGCAGAATACCCTATTTTGCATGCCATACTCGCTGAGAAGGATTCCAGGAGGATCTTCTACTTCTTGACGTAAGCTTGGTCTTGCTGCCTTTTCTGCACGGTTGAACTAATGGCTTTGCTCAGTTTAAATTTCTGTTTCATGGTCGTGCAAGCATTTTATGGTTATGTCACCGACTCATTGGGCCTCCTCAGCGACAGCGTACACATGTTCTTCGATTGTGTTGCTCTCTTGGTGGGACTTTTGGCCGCGGTCCTGAGCAAATGGCCCCCAAGCCAGAGATTTCCATATGGGTTTGGAAAAATAGAAACCTTGTCGGGATTTGCCAATGGCATTCTGTTGATGTAGGTTCCCTTTTTACGGGGGTATTTGTCTTGCCAAAAACAACTGACGGTGACCGATAGGCTCCTGAGCACTGAGATCGCCTTTGAGGCATTTGAGCGGTTATGGGAGGGTACCAAGACCAAGCGACTTGGCGAGCTCTTCGTTGTTAGTAGTTTAGGGCTTGCCGTCAACTTGGTTGGTATGATGGCATTTGGTCACCATCATCACCACGGTCACAGCCCCGGTCACAGCCATAGTCACAGCCACGGACACGATCTTTCGCATAGCCACGACCACAGTCATGGCCACGAACACGACCACTCACATGGCGGCGGGGGCCATGCCCACGGCCACGCGCATGATAACGAAAACATGCACGGTATTTACCTGCACATTTTGGCGGATACTTTGGGGAGTGTGTCGGTCATTGTGTCAACGGCGTTGACTAGCATTTGGGGTTGGTCTGGGTGGGATCCGTTGGCGTCGTGCTTCATTGCCATCCTCATCTTTTTGTCTTCCAAGCCACTCGTCATCTCCTCAGCAAAGCGTCTTCTTCTAAGCGTCCCCGAAGTGACGGAATATAGTCTACGGAACACCCTTGGTGGGATTTTGCAACAACGGGGCGTTGTGAACTACTGGGCACCCAAGTTCTGGCTAGACGATCGCACAGGAAGCGAGGACGGCGAGAAGCTGGTAGGCGTCGTGCACATTGTCGTGGCGAGAGGAGCAGCCATGGACGAGACACGCGACCGAGTTCGGGATTATCTGCTCAGCCAAGGCGTCGAGGCGGTGATCCAGGTAGAGCGGGAAGGCGACTACGGATGCTGGTGTACCCGAGGGCGTAGCACAGGGGCGACACCATCTACCCCAAAGATGCTTTAGAAGAGGCATCCGCAGCGACCCCTATTGGATTTGACACCATCTTCGGGGGCACTTGATCACATAAACCCCAGCGTATCTCCAAGCAACATGGGTGGGAGACGGTTGGTTGCCGTGGCTGGGGGTGCCTAACGACACGATTGCGCACGCAAGTTCACTTTCTCCAATTCCCGTTTCCTCTTTTGCGTACAAAAATATATATCATCGGCCTGCCACCAGCACATGTCTGCATATTGGACATGAGCGACGGCTTTGGGGACAAGTGAGCACGCCTGCAGCTTTGACAGGGCAGGATTCCTGGTGTAACTATAGATAACCGTTTCCTGTGCTGGAAACTAAGTGTTGGGTCAAAAATCCGACGAGGCATGTACATTTCTTCAATATTTTTTTCTTGCACGACGCACGTGTCTACTCAGAAGTTTTCCCTGGTGATGCATGACGCGTGAATAATCCAAGCCTCCGAAGGTCTAGGCCGTAAATTGTGGGGGAGAGATTGTGGTTTGGCCTCGGTGTCTGGAGGGACTGGAGAGACGAGAAGTGTTGATGTGTTATTATTACTCGGTACGGAGTAGATGAAGATGGGTTCATGCATGCGATTCCAGTCAAGGAAGGGTACATTGTACATACAGCCGCAGCTGTGCGCCGGGATCCGAGATGCCCATGTTGCGTTGTTGATGGACGGTCCGACGAGTGGGGAAAGTGTCTGGCCAGTGATTCGCTCAACTTCCCAATGCCGCCCGTAGCGTAGCCCCGTCCGGTACGTACCCGAGACGGACCTCCAGAAGCCTCCAGAAGTCCATCCACCCTTGCAGATAGCCGAGGCAAGAATGGCGATGATGCGTCCCACGAGACGAGTGATGGGATACGGATTACTGTAGAGTACAATGTCCTTTGGGAATAGAACCACGCATGCATTCTGCAGGATGCAGTGCACCGGCCGCCCGCTCTCAGAACCGAAGATTGTGAACCGGCCAACCGTCCTGGCACCTGCGCATATCGCATGTCGGGGAAAGTCACCTTACCCATGACCTCATTTTGTCTGCGCACAACCCGACCTCGTCCTTTTTCTTTTCTTGCCTCTTGCTTTTCTGTCGCGGACCCATCTTCTCACCAGTCTTCATCCCCCCCCCCCTTCGTCACGTCCCTTCTGTTCCTACTCAGGCGCGGGTAATCCAATCCTGTGCCGTTCGTCCGCCCAACCATGCCCGCCTCTTCCTCGCCCGAGGCTGTCAACAAGCAAATCGAAAAACTGCCCGCTCCCGTGGCCGACAAGATCCCCCGCCTCCCAGAGACCAAGAACGAGCTACGAGAGACCAAAGAAGCTGCCAAGTCGGGTCTGCTGTCACAGCTGCGCGCCCTTGGAGCAGGTGGGTTTGGCGGCATTTGCGCCGTCGTCGTCGGCCACCCCTTCGACCTGGTCAAGGTGCGTCTGCAGACGGCCGAGCGGGGTGTCTACTCGTCTGCCATTGATGTCGTGAGGAAGAGCATCGCTAGAGATGGACTGAAAAGAGGATTGTACGCCGGAGTCAGCGCACCGCTGGTTGGTGTGACTCCCATGTGTAAGTTTGTCTTTGCTCTTGTGATGATGAACAGTCAAAGCTCTTGTTTCCTGCAACTCAAACCAAGGTCAAACGGCTGATTTTTCCCACTCTGTGACTCGCCTCCAGTTGCCGTCTCCTTCTGGGGCTACGACCTCGGCAAGCAAATCGTCTCTGCCTCCTCCACCGTCGGCCCGAACGGCCTCTCCATCGCCCAAATCTCCACCGCTGGTTTCCTCTCGGCCGTTCCCATGACGGCCATCACCGCGCCCTTTGAGCGCGTCAAGGTCATTCTGCAGGTCCAGGGCCAGAAGCAGCTTGCGCCAGGCGAGAAGCCCAAGTACAACGGTGGTGTCGACGTCGTCCGCCAGCTGTACGCCCAGGGAGGCTTGCGCAGCGTCTTCCGCGGCAGCGTTGCCACACTTGCTCGTGATGGTCCCGGATCCGCCGCCTACTTCGCCGCCTACGAGTACATCAAGCGCATCCTGAGCCCCAAGGATCCTGTCACCGGTAAGCCCACTGGCGAGCTGAGCTTGTCGGCCGTTACCTGCGCCGGTGCCGCTGCCGGTGTGGCCATGTGGATCCCCGTCTTCCCCGTCGATACCGTCAAGTCTCGCCTGCAAACCGCCGAGGGCA